ATGAAAGAGGGTGCTGACCTCTGCCCAACCTCAGCTCTACCCAGTGCATTCTCTCCTCTCCCTCCAGACAGTCCCAAAATCCACAGAGCTCTCTCCCCAGCCTTCCTGGCCACACTGGCCACGTGAGTCCCAGTGTCCGTTCTTCCAGGCTCTTTGCACACTTCCACCCAGCCCACCCAGTAACGCCAACCCACCCTTCAGACAGGGGAAGTCTTCCCAGCTACTTTCAGTCAACTGCCAAAGTATTTGCATCTAGAGACACTTGCTCCATCCTCCAAAGCACACGCCACAATGCTAAATTTACATTTTTTTCTTTGTAATTCAAATGTTTCTCAATCTCTCCTACACACGGCAAGTTCTCTGGGAATGGTAACCACACAACCTGGGTTTTTCCTCACTACTGTACTCCCTGTGCCCAGCATGGTATCGCTGGTGCTCAGAAGGCAGTTACTGTTATGAAATAGTCAAGGGGAGGCAACGAAGAAACAGAGGACTGAGGAATATGCAGCTGCTCAGGTCGGAGCTTACAACTTACAGCAATGGAGCAAGGTGTGAGGCACTTTGACATCTAAGCTCTGTGTTCACTGAAGGCGCCTGGCCTTTGATATTTGTTGAATGAATACACGGATGGAATGATGAATGGATGGATGAAATTATAGATGAATAGATGGAAGGATGGATGAGGGATCAATTAATAGATGGAGAAACAGATGGATAGAAGGATGGATGGATAGATGGATGGATGGATGGATGGATGGACTGGTAGGTGGATGGGTGGATGATGGATGGGTGGATGACGGATGGATGGATTGATGATGGATGGATGGATGGACTGGAAGGATCGATAGGTGGGTGGATGGATGGACAGATGGATGCATGGATGGATGGATGGATGGATGGATGAATGAATGGACAGACTCATAGATGGATGGGTGGATGCTGGATGGATGGATTGGCAGATGGATGGTGGATGATGGATGGATGGATGATGGATGAGTGGATGGATGGGTGGATGATGGATGGATGGATGGATGAATGGACAGACTGGTAGATGGATAGGCAGATGATGGATGGATGGATGGATGGATGAATGAATGGACAGACTCATAGATGGATGGGTGGATGCTGGATGGATGGATTGGCAGATGGATGGTGGATGATGGATGGATGGATGATGGATGAGTGGATGGATGGGTGGATGATGGATGGATGGATGGATGAATGGACAGACTGGTAGACGGATAGGCAGATGATGGATGGATGGATGGACTGGTAGATGAAATGAGGGGTAAATGCATAGGTGGACAGATAGACAATTCCCGGATTAACAGAAACATTGATAGATAAATTCAAAGTACTGGATAGCATAGCTTTTATAATAAAATATTTTTTGAAATTTTTGTTGTTTATTCATTTTTTCTTGGCTGTTAGAACTAAGTTAAACAGATCCTCAAACTTGGAATTCTACCTTTCTATGCATGAATTTTTAATAAAATCATATTTTAATGCTTTAATTCAGACAAAACAAAACTTGGTGGACTCTTCATTCTTCGGACTTTTAATTTGACAGAATTTGAATAGAAGCAAAAACTCATTCTTTCTCTCCTCTCCCTCCCCACTAACTGGTTCCCTCCTGATATTCTTTCTTATCCCAAAAAGTCTTGACCCCTAAAGAAGTTGTCACTGCACTTTGAAGCTCTTTTTGCAGAACTGGTTTGCAGTTTCCTCAAATAAGGGGTGGTGTCCTCCCACCCAGAAGCTTCACTCTGACCCAGTTAACATGCCAGTGTCATCGAATTGTGTCAAATGGAATTTCATGATGCAGGTATGATTTATAAGCTCAGGGACAGTTCAGTTCATTTCCCAATGTATTCATATCACCTCTCCTCTAAGATTCTCTGATCACCTGAAAGTTCTCACCCAGCTGGAAATCAAGTATGGATTATATTTAACAGGACTTTAATTGGAAGTAAACAGACACACACAGACACAGACACACAGACACACAATGCAAAGTGCCTAATTTGTCTGGGGCTGATTGAAAAAGAATATGATCAAATATTAGACATCTGTTTCAGCATACTGTTAGAGATCAGAAGCTCTGCATATGGAAGCATCTTCAGGAAGGCACTGTAAGAAACCCACTGCCCAGGCCATTGGCTGCACTCAGCTGGAAGCAGGTACAGCATGTGCCCAACACCACCTTAGATGCGGGGACCAGGACAATGCCACAGTCTGCTCACAGTGTCACAGGTCTCTCAGCATCTGCTTCTTTCTTACCAGCATGTGCAAGGGACCATAACTGGGAAGGATGCAAGCAGCTGAGGACTGTAACCAGCAACCTAGATGCAGCAGCCCTCAACTTTGTATTTAAAAATCACCTTGCCCTCTGCCCATCTCCTCACTAATTTTTCTTCGCAGCCCACCCTCCATACACCTGCTCCTCCCACAAAGTTCACAGTAATGCATCAAAACTCATCTGCAGGCTGGCACCATTGCCAACTACATCAAGCTACCGGCAAAGCTGGACCTTAAACATTAAAGACCATTCTCCAGGAAAGTTAGGGGCCACAGCACAAGGCCGCTGGGGAACTCTGTGTCATACCATACTTCCTAGGTCCCAGGGGCATAGAAGTACAAGCAATAACATTTTATTTTTGTTTTTTAAATTTATCCGTAAGAGGATGGGTTTGTTCTATGACTAATCATTTTCTGCTCATAAAATGTAAACATGTGGGTTCAAGAATATGAACCTGGTATTCAAATGTGCATTTTGTTTTGTTCAAAAATTCCTATTTGAAAGACAATACAGTAAAAATGATAATATATGGAAACAGATACTTAATACTTGATAATATTCTTTTTCAATCAGTCCAGACAAATGAGGGACTTGGTGTGTGTGTGTGTGTGTGTGTGTGTGTATGTGTTTACTTCCCATTAAAATCCTTTTAAATATAGTCTATACTTGATTTCAAGCTGGGTAAGAACTTTCAAGTGATCAGAGACTATTAGAGGGAGGTGACATGAATATATTCGGAAAAGAACGGCCCCGTCCCTGAATTTATAAATCATGTCTGCATCACAAAATTCCATTTTATACAATTTGATAATAGGGGTGTTAATTTTTTCTCATTTTTTGACATATTGTGACTAATCCCTGAATCATCTACCACGTGCTCAGTACTCTGCTAATCGCTGTAAGAAGTCTCCACACCAATCCGATTCACTTTTGAACTCTCTGGCTGAGTTCTTCAAGTTCGACACACAAACTATATCACGTGCTAGGCTCATCGTATCATTTCACGTGCTAATTTTTGGCCACCTAGTCAAGAGGCTTCCACATCACAGAGTACCTCATTTAAGGACATTTTCAGTGTTCCCAGTTGGAAAAATTCACAAGTGTCAGGAGAAATACAATTCTCTCCAACACGACTCAGTCTAATAAAGAAACAGTAACAGACCTATGTACAGAAGTGAGAAAACACAATAGTTGGGTCATATTTCCAAAGCTATTCTGTACCTTTCTTAATAAAACCTTATTTTATTAGGTTATTGCCGCATAAATACGAAGAAGTCTATCCCTATAGTAACACCAAGTGACAACCAACAGCAATGAAACGCCTGGCTGGTGTTACCGGGGATTTTGGCTTTTTTAACCTCACGTCTGCCTGAGTCACATTCACTGAATTCAGCAACCTTTTCTTTGGTTGTCTGTGCACATTATAAATCCAGAAAGCTCTGATCCCGGGGATTGTTCTTACTCATAATTAGGAGACATGAGCCCATTTCAACCACACTTCAAAGAGAGTGAAGGAGGGGGAAGGTAAACTCCTCTTTCTAAATCGAAGCAGCGTAGACACACGGCCAGTGAACTGTCTTCGTCTATTATCAGATCCAAAGCAACATAACCTCAGTGATTCTGGAAGAACTCAAAGAACACACAATTCATGTCATTAAAAGACTCTGTGCATGATACTTGGCTTTGAAGTTTCTGAGAGAGATCTCATCTCAAAAATCTTTGCAGAAAAAAATATGGGTACAGGGCTCTTGCAGCACATATTAGAGACTGCGGAGATGCTTCACTTTCCTCCCAGCCTGTCCCTCTGCAGGAAAGGGGCACCGGGAGGGGGAACCACACACAAACAGCCCGGATCAATCACGAGAAAGAATCTCCTGCACAAAGCACACAAATTCTCTTCAAGGAAGAATGACTGTCCAGAGCTTCCAAACTTGCTCTTTCCATGGCAGACAGGGATGCTGGCAGAAGGGAAGAGGAAGCTTTGCGGAGTTCCTGCCTTTACACATGGCTTCAAGTCAGGGACCCAGGGACAACTCGGGTCACAAGTTGTAGCTGAAACTCCACGTGCCCCAGCAGCGGGGCCGCTGCTCCCAGCACCCTACGGAAGGGTGAGCGCCAGACCCTGGGCCAAAACCTTCACAGCAGCTGACCTGGAGAAACCCAGGCCCCTTCTTCAGCGCTACCCCCCAGGCTATATTTTTGGCAGCCTGTAATACACTAAATAGTATTCCCATACAACAGGAGCGCTCCAAAATTATCTCCAAGTAGGTCAGTGCCAGCAGGGAAAGTCAATCTCAAATTCCAGAAATCTTCCTGGTGACCCCGATCCCTTCCCCTGACAGCAGGCTCAGCCCTCCAGAGGCCACCTTTCTTTCCCCTCAAGGGTCCCCAGGTCCCTTCCCTGTGCAGAAAAGGTTTTCAGGAAACAACCTTCCCTTCCTTTCGGCTTCTGGGCAGTCGCCCCTACTAACTGCCTCCCAAGGGCTCCAGGACATGCACCTTCCGCCAAGGGGCGGCGGAGGAGCTTGGCTGCTGCACGCGCACAGGTTCACACGCGCGCGCACACACACACACACACGCGCGCACGCGCGCGCGCACACACACGCCCTCGCTCCCGGCCGCCCCCATCCTCCACACACTCCCACACACTCACTCCAGGCGAAGTTAGTCCCCCCGGCCCCGGTGGCCGCGGCGTCCTCACCTTTGGAGAACAGTGCGGCCAGGCTGATGAGCACAGGCGACCAGTGGTGCCACAGCGTCCCCATCTCAGACGGGCACATCCTGAGACCCGGAGCGCAGATCCTCCGCTGCCCAGCACCGTCCAGGCGAAGAAGAGACCGTCTCAGTCCCTAGAGGCTGGGAGCGGGGCCGACGGCCAGGGAGCGCCCGGCTAGAGGCGAGAGCATCCCGGGCGCCCTGCGCCCTCCTCCCGCCAGTCCATGGCCGGGCCGAGAGGCGACGACCGCGCGCGGGCTCCTGAGTTGCTCTCCGGAGTCCACCACGCGCGCAGGCAAACCCCACCTCCCTCCTTCGCCCCCAGCAGGATATTTTTTTAATCCACGAGGGGTAATTCCTTTCCTGTTTACCCGAGCGAAGAGTGGCCCGGGAGGCCCAGGCAGGGGCGCTTCCAGCGCAGGGCTCTGGCGGCTCCGGGGTTGGCTAGCGGGCGGCGCCGGGGTGGCGGGGCTGCGGCGCCCGGGGCGCGGGCAGAGGCGGCGCGGAACCCCCCGGGCGGGTGTCCGGGCGCGCGGGGCGGCCCGGGGCGCCCTGGCCCGCAGCCCCCATCCCGGGCCGACCGCCGCGCCTCGGTGCTCGGACGCGCGCGCGCTCCGGCACCCAAAGTTTGGCGGGTGCGGCTGCTCCCGGCCGCCGCCTCGGCCCGCCCGGCCCCGGGCCCGGCTGGGGCTCGCGGGGCTCTACGCGCGCCGAGCGCACAGCCGGCTCCGGAGACGCGGGGCTCCCCCCTGCGCCCGGGGGAGGCGGGCCAGAGGTGCGCGGAGGAGGGCCCGCCGGCGAGGGGACGCGGCCGAGAGCCGCCGCTGCCGCCTGCCAGCCTGCGCGGGGGCTCCGCGCCGCAGGGACCGCATCCAGAACGCAGGCGTTCGCTACCCTGCCCGGAGCGGGCTCGGGCCTTCGCCTTAAAGATTTGTCTGTTTTTAAAAAGCCCCACCCTTTCGGAGTGACAGCTGTGAGCCCCAATCCGCAGAGTACATCCCACCTCCCTGGCCGCCCCACGCCCAGCCTCCCCCCACCCTCCCTGCGAGTGCGGACGCGCGGTGGCGGCGGGCGAGAGCTCCCAGCGCGGGGGCGCCCTGGGGACGGAGCCACCCACTCTCCCAACAGGTGTCCAGGCCACCGGCCTCCCCTCCTCAGCAAAGCCTCAGGGCCAGGGGCGGTCCTCCAGCCCGGGGGCACCTGAGGCTCTTCGCCAGGGAGGGCGCACATGGAAGGCCGGAGAGGGGCCCTCGACCCGCCCTGGGCATCTCCCGGGCATCGGAGTGAGGAAGCCTCTGACAGGCCACGCTGAGGTCATGCAGGCCCCAAGCTCCGTCCCAGAAGGATCCCCCAAGTTAGTGTCCCTAAAAACATTTCATGCATGTGTACTTCCCAGGGCCCACTGGGAACAGGAAACGGATCCCTTAGGAGACAACATTCCCTTGAGAGGATAAAGGGCACGGTTCTCACACCTTCCTGAATCTTCGACTAAGACATCGCCACACCATCCTGTGATTTTCCGCCCAAGGACTGCTTTGCTCCATGACAGCCTTTAAATTCACCCCATCAAAACTCAGAGGAAAAGCATCCACAATTTTTAAGGAATATTTTAAACCAACAAGCACTGAATAAAATGAGGTGACTTCACCTCAGTAGATAAAAGTGGGTCGTTATCATCTGGCTGAGGGGCAATGGACTTTTTTTTATCCTGTATGCCTGTAGCTGCAGAAATATACCAATGCTTTAAGAGTTTTTAGCTTTTAAAGTTTCAGGAAAGATCAGAAAAGCAACTGCTGTTCTATAGAAGATTGTCTTTCTGGGTTCGTGCCCTTTGAGATGCGCCCGACTCTTATTCTACATCTGCTTATCTGAATAGATGTCTGTGTTTTACTTTTGTTTACTTCTTAAACTTGTGACCTTTCCTCTGTATTGCTCTCCTATAAAATTACGAAGAGTTGATGCCGTAAAGAGCTTGAGATTGTCTCTTAACTGTTTCTGAAGTTTGAGCCAGGAGGAGTGTCTCCTGAAAACTTGCACGACCTGGGTTGCTGGGCCCACCCCAGAGCTAATGCAGCAGATCAAGGTGGGACTTTCGTCTCCAGTTCTAACAAGTTCCAGGTGATGCTGATGCTGCCGGCCTGCGGAACACCTGCCAGGACCACCGATCTCCTTTCTCCTCCACCTGAGTGATGGGAGCGTTCTGAGTGTTCATCTCTTGGACACCTTCCCCTGATGTCTGAGTGTCTGAATTGATGCCCGCGCCAAATGCATAAGCCAGGTTCCATCCTTAACGCTACAGTGCCTCCGAGTCTATGTGTAAATCGTCTATTTGTGACAATGAGTCTATTTGTAAAACATTTCTCAAATGTACTGACTGGAAATAAGTGGTCCCTGTTCTTTATTAAAAACAATCATTTCACGTTTTTCTAAATCAAACTGTTTTTTCCCTGAATTGCAATCAAATAACTTCTCTTTTTTTTTTTTTTTTTTTTTTTGAGACGGAGTTTCACTCCTGTTACCCAGGATGGAGTGCAATGGCGCGATCTCGGCTCACCGCAACCTCCGCCTTCTGGGTTCAAGCAATTCTCCTGCCTCACCCTCCCGAGTAGCTGGGATTACAGGCACGCGCCACCGTGCCCAGCTAATTTTTTGTATTTTTAGTAGAGACGGGGTTTCACCAAGTTGACCAGGATGGTCTCGATCTGTTGACCTCGTGATCCACCCGCCTCGGCCTCCCAAAGTGCTGGGATTACAGGCGTGAGCCACCGCGCCCGGCCATAACTTCTATTTTTGCGATTGCGAAAAGTTTCTCTGTCTGTGGTGTGAAGACAGAAGGTGACTGTCGAGTTCCAGCTGCTGCCTAAAGTGTTCAATGGTTTCTTCATCCTGCATAGTGGGCTAAACAAAAGGTTTTTTGACTCTTTGGTATAAAGCCGTTTTTGGAAAGCTGCAACTTCAGATACCCAATCAGTGGCTAAAATAAGATACAAGAATGGCTTCTTACTTTTTCTCTCTCTGGTATGCCGTTCTCCCTGGTACATCTAATCTTCTTTGGGTAATTAGCACAGCTAATTGTGGGGAAGCAAAACTTAGAGACTTAGAGGTGGATGCTGAAGGCTCTAGGTCCCTAACTCCAGCCCAGGCCCGGGACAACTTCCCATCAGAACCGCCTTCCTTGTCTCTCTCAAGTTAATTGTAAGAAGAAATCTGCTTTCCTTGGAGAATATGTGTTTCATCTGCGGGGCCATAAATCAATTCGTAAGCCTAATTTTGTCTGTAATTAAATAGCACTAATTGTTCATGCTGTGTGGATGAGGCTTTTACACTAAGCAGTTTTTGTTGTTTTTCAATAAAACAAAAACATTCCCGGTAGCGGTTTTTAAGAAATGCCACTTTCAGAGCTGATAAAGGCAGAAAGGAGCTGGAATACAAGTACTGAACGGGCTTATGCCATTGTTGGATGAGAGGGTGTTTTCGAGTCCTCTAAAGAGGGGGCATCCTGTAAAACTAAAGCCATTCTCTCCCAATCCTTCTGATTGCATCCAGGAGAAAGGCTCGGGCCTGAGCTACTCTGGAAAAAGCTTTTAGTAATTGCAAATGCCCGTGTTGTTCAAATCAAAGGGAAGTTCTTTCTACACAGTGACGACATCTGGCTCAGGTCATTAACATCGGTTTGTTTTTAGATTGTTATTATTTTGTTTTCTCACCTTTTACTTTAGTGATACATTTTGTTTAAAAAACATCAAATTAGGCCGGGCACGGTGGCTCAAGCCTGTAATCCCAGCACTTTGGGAGGCCGAGGCGGGTGGATCACGAGGTCGACAGATCGAGACCAACCTGGTCAACATGGTGAAACCCTGTCTCTACTAAAAATACAAAAATTAGCTGGGCATGGTGGCGCGTGCCTGTAATCCCAGCTACTCGGGAGGCTGAGGCAGGAGAATTGCCTGAACCCAGGAGGCAGGAGAATTGCCTGAACCCAGGAGGCAGAAGTTGTGATGAACCGAAATCACACCATTGCACTCCAGCCTGGGTAACAAGAGCGAAACTCCGTCTCAAAAAAAAAAAAATAATAAAATAAAATAAAATAAAATAAAAATAAAAAACATCAAATTATATATGTTTATGAAGACGGGGAATTAGTAATGGATTTGGCAATCACTACTTTGGGGCAGGCACCATCTTCTCTCCATGAATACTCCAGAAGATGGTGAGAAATGCAGCTTGGGAAACCTTAGCATGAAGTGAGAGCTACCAGATCAGTCCCTCCTGAAGATGCAGAAGAGACTTTTTAAAACTCCCTTTCTTCCCAATTTTCCAAAATTCATGAAACGACTGGGAAATAGAAAGGTCTGGTTGAATCGGTTGTCTCTTTCAAGGGTGGGGAAAGCCTTCTGATTTTGAGTGCACCGTAAGTACTACGAACATTGCACACCCTTCCTGGTAAGGCCAGCGGGAGATCATCCTTCCAGAAGGAGCACCTCTGCGGAATCCATGCTGTGCCCTTGAGGATGGTGATGTGTTCACCGAGGCCTGCCATTCTCTCCTTCCCAGCACGTGGATGACTACACTTCTCAGCCCCTTGCAGTTGACCAACTAAATGTGAGCGGAAGTCATGAGGGTCGTTTCTCCCGTGGGGCAGTGAAAAGCTCACCTGTGCCTCCTCAGTCTGTCCCTGCCCTGCCCTGGGTGCAGAGTGGACCCCTTGTTGGAAATGGTGCAGCTGCTACAAGCTGGGCCCCCCCTCGCCGCCGGCAGCCCATCAAGTCGATGGGAGAGCAAAGCCCCCGCCAAACCCACATTAAGAAGGATAGTAGGAGAAATTAATTTTTACTGTGTTGAATCGTCAAACGTCTGGGTTCTTCCAGGTTACCGTACTAAAATCCAGACTACTTTCACTCTCCTCTCTCTGTCCTTCTGCCTTTCTCATCTTTTCCCAGAGCTCCCCAAGCAGACGTTAACAAGTCGGAATATTCAAGATCTCCCAGGTGACCCATGCCATCTCCAGGCAACTCCTAGGTGAACCCAGCAGAGTAGCCTCTTCTGCAGACAAATAGGATGGCACTGCATTCCCCTTAAGTCACTGATTTATGGATCAATACGGAAAGGTCAGCTTCATTCCGTATTGAATAGTCTTCTTTGAAGCCACATGGTGAGCTTCTTGGCACACATGGTGTCTTAGTACCTCTAGCCTGATTAGTGCCCGAGTGGTCCTCAGTCGGGGGCGAGGTCAAGGAGAAGCTGCAAGGCTGCCTGTGCAGCAAACCCTTTGTTAAGAAGACCCCCTGGATTGTGCGTGCGTCTGTGCGCTGGAGCCTGTGATCCGAGCCACTGCATGCTCCCTCACACAGGTCCAGGTCATCCACGTGCCCGGCGGTTGGAACAGCAGGTGCAAAGGCCATGAGACATTGCAAGGGGTGGAGGAGCAGAAAGCCGCGTGTGGCTGAAGCTTGGTGAGCCAGGAAGAGGATGGTGGGAGGCGAGGCCCAGGGGTTTGGCAGGAGACAGAGGATGCAGGGGCCTCGTCGGGATTCAGGAAGCCAGAGTGAAGCTTGAAGCAGGAGAGCTGTGGGAGTCCATTCACATTTTCGGAAGCTCTCTTGACATTCCAATAGTGTCACCGAGACAGGAGCTAGGCACACATGTGTCTGGTAAATGTAGGCTGTCAGACTCCCATCCGCTCCACAGGGCCCCTGTTCTGCCTCCCACTGGGCCAAATCCAGGGGCCTCTGCCTATGCCAAGCAGGTGGCAGCAGGAACAATCACACGCCTGGTGCAGGGAGGCGGGCCGGACAAAACCCGCACAGCTCAGATACAGAGCCACACGCCGCGGCAGCCTGCTGGCGTTCAGAGCTCTGAGTGCGCACTGGCCTCAGAGTGCCCAGCCTGTGTCTGCTTTCCACTCCAATTTTCTGTCACTCCCTTCTTTTTCAAGAATACCTGTATTAAT